TATCCAGATATACTATAATTTGTTCATGCATCCACTAGTTGATGGCCATTTTATATTTATTTATGTATGTATGTATGTATGTATTTTGGGTTTTTTGAGACAAAGTCTTGCTGCATAGTTCAGACGGTCCCTGAACTAGCTGTATAGCCCAGGCTGGCCTCGAACTTGTGGCAATCCTCCTGCCTCAGTCTCCTGAAAGCTGTGACTACAGGCATGTGCCACCATGTCTGGCTGATGGCCATTTTAGTTTCCAGTATATTTTATTCTGCATAAAGGTGTTAGGAGGGGCTGGGGATTTAGCTCAGCGGCAAAAAGCACCTGCCTGGCAAGCGCAAGGTCATGAGTTCGGTTCCCGGTACCGGAGAAAAACCAAAAAACAAGGTGTTAGGTTGTTATGGAACCCAGTACCAAAGCATCAGCCTAGAGCTGGTTTGGGGCTTAATTTATATAGGTTTTGTAAGTGGGAGATACAAAAGCTTAAAATCCTGGTGACTTTTAATTGGGTAGCAACAGTTATTCTTCATTGCTGAGTAGAAAGTCCTTAAAACAAGTTAGCAAATTGGATATGTTTGGGGGCTAGAAAGTTCAGGGTGTGCAGCTGAGTGTGGTCAAACTGAGCTGGGTCAGCTAATCTCTGGGGTAGTCAGTCAAGACTGCATGAGTCGAACAGAGGAGCTATGTGGCAGGCTGCATTATCTTATTTTGTCCTCATATGGTGTCAGACTACTAGTTTTTAAATTTTTAAAATCTATTTTTAAATTTTTAAAATTTCCATCACAGTGTTAATTGCATTCATATAAATCTTTTATGTAGTTATGTTTTAATTTCTTTGAGGTGAGTCCTAGGAATGGAACTGTTGAATCATTTTTAAAAAGCCTATAATGACATGTAGTTTACACTTTTATTAGTAGTACATGAGAGTTCTACTTGTCTCATCAGAACTCTGTAGTATCAATCTTATTTTATTTATCTGCTCTTCTTTTTGAAATGAGTTTCCTAAGTTTCCCAGTTTTGACTGGAATCGGCAATCCTCTAACCTCAACCTCTGGAGTACCTGGGTTTATGAACACACAGCCCCATGCCTGGCTGTCCTTCCACTTTTCTGTTGGTCTACTTGTCTGTCTTTATGTCAGTACCGTGCTGTCTTGCTTAGGGTACCTTTGCAGTGTTTCTAGATCAGATACTGCAAGTCTTTCAACTTTGTTCTTATTTTCCAAAGTTAAACAAGGCTATGTCAGGCCTTTATTAGTTTTCATGTAAATGTTGCATTGCCTTATCCTTTTAAAAAGTCCTGCTGGCATTTTGATTTGGATTGCCTTGAATCTGTAAATCAATTTGGGGGAAAAATTTACACCTTAACTATATTGAGTCTACCAAGTGTAAGCACTGTTTATCTTTCCCTGAAGACTTCTTGGGTCTTTAAATTCTTTCAGAGTGTCTTGAAGTTTTCACTGTGCAGATCTTGCATGCTTTTCTGAAAGTCATTGCTATATATGTCATGGCTTTTAATGCTATGTAGCAGTGTTTTAATTTAAATTTCTAGTTGTTCATTGCTAGTAATAATCATACCATTGAATTTATATATTTACTGTCCATTCTGTAAACTTCCTGGATGCTGTTACAATTTCTGGCAGGATTTCTTGTCCTATAATGCTTTCAAAATTGATAATCAGATTCTCTGTGAATAAAGGACCATTTTACTTCTTCCTATCCAAGCCAACACTTTTTTCTTGCTTTGTTGTCTGAAGTAGATCCTCCAGAACACTCTGAGTAGAAGTGAAAGCGGACATCCTCAGAGTATTCTTGTTCTTAAGGGAAAAGAATTTACTTTTTTTACCTTTAAGTACGATGTTTTTATACGGGTTCTTTGTCTTATTGAATAAATTCCTTTACGTTACTCATTTCCTGACAGTTTTAATTAAAAATGAATACTGAATTTTGTCAAATGTTCCTTTTCAAGGGCCTTTAATCCTCATTTTAACTTAATGCTTAGAATGGCATCTTTTGTACATCTAAGTGCTACATAAATATCTGTTGAATGGAAGAGGTCAGGAGGCCACTCCTCAGGCACCCAGAAGCATGGAGTGGGATAGGATAGCGTAAGAGTGTTTGAATGATACTCTGCACAGAGGGTTCTAGATTTGTCTGCATTAAGTCTTGCGGTTGTTACAGGAGTCATGAGAAATAATTATCCCCATTTTACATATGCAAAATAAATATCAGACAGAATGATTGAAAAGCTAAAATATGGTTTCGCTATGGAGAGGTCCCGTGTTTTATCACTCAACAAAAGAAAAAGGCCATCATTAAATTTAGAAAAACAAAGAGGTATACAAAAGAGGCTGCTTCCAAATATGATACTGGCCTAGATGGGGTGGGACAGACATTTGCTGGAGTGAAAGACTAAAGAATCCAATGGCTCTGGATGCAAGGAATCTGTGTGTGGAAGAACCATTGAACTACTGAGAAGAAAACATGATTCTTGTACAAGACTTGACTCATCCATGGATAATTTCCCCATAGTGAAAGTGATATACTTTTAAGTTATCAGTTTGCAGTCCTGAGGATTTGGTCAATAAAGAAAGCACAGAGCTGATTTTGTTACACATCAAAATAGCAATGTTTCTCAGCCTTGACAATGCAAAAGTCCAGATAGGTCTGAGGGAATGGAGAAGAGAAGGAAGAAAATGTTAAGGATGTTAATATTTTTATTTTCCAAAGCAGGGACATTGAATCCTTTCTGAACCTCAAGTCCTCACCTGCAAAATGAGATTTAAAGTCCTACCTAATGGGGTTATTGTGAGGATTACCTGCATCTGTGTATATAACATACCTTATATGTAATAGCTGCTCTGCTGATGAGTGGCGAGAAAAAAGAGAGGCAGGACTGTGGGTGTAAGGAAATCAACCCTCCTCCACTGGTCAGAGGCTGTCCGTAGACAACCTGTTCAGCAGATGCTGTCACTGCCCACAAGCAAGTGGTGAGTCTAAGTAATGAAAGGGCAAAGGCTGTGGGTCCAGCACAGGACATCTGAGTGGCAGGGCAGACACGTGAGTGATGTCATTATCTTCATTTACAATCGAGGGACATGAAGCTCTGAGAGACTGCCTCACGCACTTAGGACCAGCCAGAACCAGCTAAGCAAAAGCTAAAAGCAGGAATGGTGACTGTAGAGTCTATCGCCTGCGACTTAGAAGCACTATGAATCTGAACCTCTGGGTGAGCCAGCGTGTGCTCTTTGCACATTTTTAATGAATAGGCCCCTAGGTTTAATTAAGGGGGGAAATGAATTGTTTCTCCCAAGAGTGGCAAATTATTTACATTGCCTTTGTGTTGATGGCTAACAGAAGAGCAAAGGAGTGTGAGGAAAGCCCAGAGTGGCTGTAATTCTTCCAGGGTCCATAATGAAGCATCGGTCTCAATGCCAAATTGCAAGAATGGCTGAGGCTTGTGCTCCATGCACACCTTCAGTGGGCAGAGCTGCTGTCCACCCTGGGCCTGACCCAACCAGCAGAAATGGCTTTCAGGGGCCCAGACATGTCCCTGCCTTATCAGACTGCCACTCAGTCAGTGGATGACTGGCAAGGAGTTAGTCAGAAGGAGTCGGAAGGGGGCTTGAGTTGAGGCAACCAGTAATCCTGGGATAAGCTCTTAACTGGCCTTTGAAAGGGTAGGGGGATGGGACAGGACAATAGCTTCTGCAACAGAGCTGCTGCCAAGTCTCTAAGCTCCTGCTTTGCCATTGCCCTTGAAAAATTGGTAATGTGATGTATACAGCGATATATGGATAGATAGATAGATCAGAATGTATATATGTATTATATATTATGTGTGTATTTTTGTAAACGGATATCATGGAATATGAAGGGTTTTTGTTTTTCTACTCACTACTAATTAACCATGCAGTGGTTTGGAGAAGTCACATCTATCCCATGGAAGTAGTTTGTTCATCATCTCTATAACGATCACACCTACCCCACAGGTTGCTGATGGAGATTACATGTGGACCCACACCTTTGAAACTATGATGCACAGGGTGGGGGTTGGCATTGGGACAACTTGGATTATTTTTAAGGCCCCTTCATACACTTTATTTTATTTGTAAAGCATCTACTTTGCACTTAGGTTTCTACAAGGGTGTGGGGGGATTAAAAAGAGAGAGACCAAGAAGCTCACAGTTGAGTAATCAGATTAGTATTTTAGAAAGGTCACTCTTGATATTAGTGCGGAGTATGGGCTAGAAGGGGCTAGGGCTTCAAACTGGGAGACCAGTTAGAAGGCCACCGCAGCAATCCAGAGAAGGTTTATTTGCATTAGAACAAAACCTGATGAAATAGACCAAGGAGATGGAATGGAAAGAGAATGGAGGTGAACAGATAAGATGCCCATAAAGGAAAATTACACCGAGTCCTGACACCAGTCTTAGTTCAATTTTCTGCCCATGACAAGTGCCTGATAACTACAAGCATAGTATACTCATTCACTAGGGTGGCCATTGAGAGCACCACATCTTGAGTGTCTTAGAAAAACAAAACTACACGGTTTTACACTTTTAGAGGGCTAAAGTCTAAAACCAGGGTGTTGTGTGGGGCTTTACTCCCTTTGAATGTGCTGGGGGAGATCTACTCTGAGTCCTGCCCTGACTCCTGGGAGTTTCTTGGCTTGTGGCAACACCACTTCAGTCTTCTCATAGTGCTCTACCAAATGGGCTAACAAAGCTGAACGTGGTGGTGCATGCCTATAATTCCAGCACTCAGGAGGCTGAGACAAGAGGATTGCTGAGAGTTCGAGGCCATGCTGGGTTACATAGTGAGTCCAGGCCAGCCTGAACTGCATAGTGAGACCCTGTCTCAAAAAAAATAATAATAATAATAAATGGGTTAACTTTCTCTAGGGTTGTTGGGTGAGAAAGCCTGTGACTGGGAAAATGTTCAAAAGTAATAATCCTATGAGAGGTTAGTTATTTACATGTTGCTCTTTTGTTTCCATTGTTTTCTAGTCAACAAACACAAGCCATGGATTGAGACTTCATATCATGGAGTCATAACTGAGAATAATGACACAGTCATTTTGGACCCACCTCTGGTAGCGCTGGATAAAGATGCACCGGTTCCTTTTGCAGGTGAGATGAAGTCTTCATGTGGCTGAGCTTGGCTGGCTTTGGAGACTCACAAAACCCAGGCTTGGGTGTTGTAGCTACTGTCACCACTTGTACGTATTTTAGACCAGCCTATGAATTTAATGCTGTGTGCTGTTTCTTATTTTGGGTGTGGATTCTGTATCTGCCTGTGGCATTTTTACATCAGAATACCTCCAACAGAGGACCTCTGTTTTCTTCTTTAACTGAGAGGTGGTAAACAGTTGGAGTGGCCCTTGGTGTTGGGAACTTGGATTAGTAAAGTCACTGGGGGCATTTCCCCCCTAGACAGATGATCCATAGACCCATAGATAAAATGTGTGTCCACTGCCCCCACTTGCCTACATATCATATATAGGTGGGTACTTGTAACTTGATGGATTAGCAAAAAATGGGGCAGGAAATAATCAAGAAATGTTTGCTAAAAAGGTCATGCCCTTGGTCTTACATGTGGCTAGAGATTTTGGACAGGAAGGCAGAATGCAGAACAAGTTTGCCCTCTGCAGCGGTGACTAAAGATCTTTCTCACCGTTATCAGGACAACCACTGCTTTCTTCTCTGACCTCCTCCAAGGGCCGTGGTCCCGAAGGGGTGTGTGCAGGATCCTGCTATGTCATGTGTTTCCACAGACTTGGCAAAGACAAGGGGCTAGGTGAGAGCAGGAGTAGGAGGGATTGGACAGAGAATCTGAGGATGCCTGCATCATGAGTAATACTGTTAACATTTTATAACCGTCAGGAGAAAGACAGGAGAGTTAATGAAGGTTTGCAAGACTTCTGGAAGATTGCTTTATGATAGATGGGTGCCAAGCAGAGGTTTACACCATGATGAAGTCTATTTCTTCTGACAGCTTGTCCATTACATTATGAGCTTCTTGGGCAGGAAAAAATTGGTTCTTTTACACTTTTAAGAGATAAGCTCCATGAAGCCCCTTTTCATTATGGAGCATTATACAGTAAGGAGTAAGAGGGTGAGTTAAATCCAGTGTTATTTGAAGACAAACATGTAAGCATCCTTGCAGAGCATGGGGGGATACTCTCAGCTCTCAGAAGGCTTTCTCTATATTTTATGTAGAATGATAACCACCAAGGGCACCTAACTGTGACTTCTATGGTGTTTAGAGGTGGCACATTTCCATACATCTTCTGGATATCCTCAAAGGTTCTGTACAACCAAATGCCGCTTGGAACTAAAAATCACATGCCGTCTTTTCCACAAAAATGAGTTATCTTCCTCACACCTTCTTTGCCAGCCTGTGAATACTCCCGCTCATCCCTTCATGGACATAACAAATAGGTGTTGGGATTAATCAACAATTCTGAGCAACTTCTGAAAATGAGATATTTAAGCAAATGTTAGCAAAAATTTGAGGTCATGGAAATATTTAGTTTGATATGTACCGTGTGCTTCAAGACATAGATATGACATTTAGGCACTAAGAGATTTTTGCTCAGTGAAAATTCAGCAATTTTCAGGGTTCTGGTTCAGGAAAATTCAGGACTCTGGTTCATCTTAATGAACCAGATATGAAATACAGAGCAAAGCCATAACCTCCCTCATAGACCAAGCATGTGCTCATGGCCCTTTGCCATAGCCTGTGTGCAGAGGCCTTGGCATTAAGTAGGGCCTCATATACAACTTTACTTCAAATCTGTAAACTCTCTTTCAAACATAATACGGCAAACTAATGATAAACTAAAGAGAAGTAAATAGATGTTATTAAGTCATTTCTGTGCAGTGAAACTTATACTTTAAAAGACGAGGTAGGCATCTGACTGTTCATTATGTCTACGCTTCACGTAGCCCCATTCTCAGCCAATAGTGAGTGCGGAGACTAAAGTTTACAGTACAGTTACAAGCTCTCTAATATGTAAACCAGAATAGGAAAACAGCAAAAACATTTCAAGCATATCCGACATTTGAAAGTTTGAATTTATGAAACATTGCTTAATGGTCTCAGTTTTGGTGCTGAAGAACAACTAAAGTTTCACCTGAAGATTTACCAAATGACTGCTTAAATCCTAGATCTACCAGTTGCCTTTGAACTTGGATTTGTATTCTGACCACTGGAAGCGCTCATGGTCATTCAGGCACATCTTGAGTATGGTGTGCTTACGGCTTTGCTCTGAGTAGTTATTACCAACTAAAGACAGTTTCTATCCTCCACCTGGTCTTTGCAGCTGCCTTTAAAAAAATCGAGCTTAATGCATCAAAATATAATCTTCCAAGCTCTTAAGAGTAAAAAATAAAGGTGCTTTTTAGGATGGTCAAAGCTATTTTTCTCAGTGCTATTTATGATCAGCTCTAAGACAGGAAACAGGCACTAGCCATCCATCCATGCTGCAGGCACTTATTTTAAAACATTTATCTTAAAAAGAAAATACTGGAGATTTATTTCAGATCCCTATCGTTCTCATAAAATTGAAAAATTCATATCTGCCAGCTCCATCACTCCTTGAAGTCTACTGAAGCTTTTAGTCCCCCCTTATCAACTGTTCATGTATTATGGGTCAGTCTCCCCACCCCTTTCCTTGGGGTCTTTATTTAGCCCACGAGATGAACTATAAGCTCCATGGAAGATAGTTCCCTCTATATTACTTTCTCTAGGTCTTGTTTCTCTTATCTCCCCCACCCCAATCTTTAAAACTTTTTTAAGTAAAATTTTTTTACACATAAGCTCTGCTAAATATCATTTAGACTCATACGCAATCCCAAATAATTCTCCTGGAATAAAAATCTCAATAGTATTGTGTACACAAATGCATAATTCAAGGAGATAGCATAGCTTTTATGATATATCTTCTGGTTATTATAATAATAAAACATTCACTGCAGAAAATGTGGAAAAAAAATAGCTCAGCACCCCAAAAGCATGCAGCATGTTTTCCTACCATCAGGGAGGGCATCTTTGAACACGTCAGTGTATTTCTTTTCAGTCATTTTTCTACTACTCTTTAAAAAACTGATCACACCTCATATTTAATATTAAATTTTCAATGCATGTTTTATTGATTTAATTATCATTCAATTAAATAACAGACCAATTTAATGCATATTAATATTTTTAAAAATATTTATGAAATATTTATATTAATATTTTCCCACCAAATAATGAAAATATACTATTTTATTTAATGTTGTTCTATAGCTGATTAAATGACTATGTGAGTATATACTTAATGAGTATTCTACAGTCTATGTTCTCTGACTGGTGGGCAATTTGCCTATTTTCAAACTTTTTTATTTGAACCAATGTCTACATTTTAGATTCTGTTGTTTGGATGGATTGTCAGAATTGGAATTAATTGGAGAAGAATTTTTAAATTTTCTGAATCACGCTACACTGCTTTCCAGCAAAGGTGCCTGAGCCTGTAATCTTATTCATACAATGAGTCCGTGTTTTCTGTTCCACTGTGGCTCTTTCCTCTGATATGGTTTAATGTCAATGTAGTAAAATAGCTGATGGCAGTAACCTCCCTATTATCATGTATAAGACAATATAAGCTTTTCAATATTGTTTTGATAAAATTTAAACAATGTCTGTGCTGTGTATTGCAATGATTCAAACGTGTCGAAGTTTAATAAATTAGAGTTTCCTTCTCCTGACTTGCCTCTGTGCTAGTTTCCTAGAAGAGATACCTGGCTGAAACTCAGGGTGAGCAACTGACCTGACATCCGGAGCAGGCCTGCATGTGGACAGGGGTGGGCCCAGGGCTTCTCTCTGCCTCCTCTGAGTTCCCCGTTCCTGTGACACCGCATTTGGATCTCTCTCCCACTTGATCAGGAAAACCTCGCTTACACTTCAGTCAAGTCCATTAGATTGGACTCAATTTTCAGCTCAAAGTATGAGCACTGTAGAATTGACCTTCTTAAAGAATCAGAAACAGAAAAATCCTTGAGTGATAGTAGAAACCTTGTCTAAAATTCTGGCCAAAAAAAAAAAATGGTAATAAAAGCAAGCTGGGCACAATGTGAACCTATTAATTTCTGCATGTGCCCCACTGGGGCCTGTTAGGAAACCATGGAGACTTTTAAATTTGAAGGGAATTACTTTGCCTTTCAGAGATAATAGAACGGCTCATTTGTCTACATTGGGCCAGTCTGGACTTGTCTTTTGTGAGGACAGGGATGCAGAGAATGATCAGGCATAATTGGCTGGCTTCTCAGGCTGGGTAAGTCTCTGAAGGCTACTCAGAAAATTGCCTGGGACATGATTTGGCACCATGTGATTAGCTGGTTACCGTGCTGGCTGCAGCAGGGACTGTTCTCCCCTCTATGTTCATTTGCCTGTCTACCTGCCTGCTGCCGGCCTCCTGTCTAGGCCTGCTGGGGGCCTTGTTTATGGCTCAGGCCCTGTGGCCGACTGATCACAAAGACCTTTCCAGGCGTCCACATATCCATAGTTTTGTTTTGTTTTGCTTTGCTTTGCTTTGTTTTGTTCTGAGGCATGTCCATCTATATAACCCAGGCAGACCTTGAACTCATGATTGTCCTGTTTCAGCCTGCCAAAGGTTGGATGTATGGGTATCTGCCACCACATGTGGCTCTAGTCATGGTGTCTTATGGTAAGAGGAGAAGGCAGAAGTTGTCAACAGGCATGACTTTTTTTAAATTTAATTTTATTACATTTTTGTCAAATAACATTGTATGTTTTTATCACTTACATGATGTTTTGTAGTATGTATATGGAGAAACTGTTGAATGTTGAAACCTAACTGATTAGCACATGCATTACCTTACATAATTATTTTTCTGCACTAGGACATGAAATTCACCCCATAGAATATGCTAAATCATTGTTAACTGTCGCCTTGCTAATAGGTTTCTTGAAATTTATTCCTTGTATCTTACTGCAATTATATATCCTCTGACATCTCTACGTTCCTCACTCCTTAACTCCCCACCTCCAGTACCCACCATTAGATTCTCTACTTCTATGAGATAAACTTTTTTAGAATTCACAAATGAGTGTCGTGTACTATTTA